GTCCTTAAATCACATAGCAAGTGCTCGCTGCTAAGTTCTGTAGGAACTATGCTTTCTGAAACTATAAATGTCAGTCAAACAGTTTGGGTGGGCTGACAGTCTATTTTCTTTTCATTGTTTTTACTGTTCTCAGCTAGAACTAAAATGTGTGTCAGTCAAGTTGACGAGAGTTTCACTTGAGCTGTGAAAACAACGTATTGTTCAAAGACTAGAATTTCAGCATTCAGCATTTCTTTGCACACAAAGCTTTATGGGAGTTCAGTAATGGCCAGCTACTCTCCATGGCAGCTCTGGAGACACTCTCAATATCAAACTTCTTCTTATCTTGAACTTTGTCCTTTTTTTTTCCCTCAACGCAAACATATTTTCCTTATAAAATCGCTTTTATAACAGTTGGTCCTGTGCAGTATCTTCCAAGTACACCACACTGTTATATTTTTTACATGTTGAACCACAAGGTAGTGTAGTAGCTGTAAAAGAATTATTATGCTCCTGTTAGGCATAAACATAAATGCTACAAATTTGTGTTTATGGATTTCATATGTATTATAATCACAACAAAAGCTGTTGCAACAATGTAATAATCTCAATGTACATTGTGCTGAACATGACTCTGTTTCCCTGAATCTGTCATTCTTCCATGTCATGAGAAGGAGAACAAAAAAAAAGTGAGGATCACCATACCAATTTGGATGACTATTGATTTCACGTTGCGGTTGTTGTCTGCAAATTTTGTACTTTGTACTCCATTTTATTATTTTAAAATATGAGGTGCTTGTTGTTTTTGTAGGCTTTAGAATATGAATCCACTAATATATTAAGTTGTATAATTATTATTATTATTATTTTACATTGTGTCTTATTTCAGGGACCATGCACAAAATACATAATGACATAAAAAGGAAAACATGCCTTGTATCATATTTATCTATCAGCTAATTTCCATCTGCAGTCCCAAATAGGGATGGGTATCAGTGTCCGGTGCCATTGTGGAACCGGTTCTGATATAAACGGTAGTAACCAGACTGAAAAGCAGCGCACAATTCGGTGCTTCATTTCGGTGCTTTTCTCCCTGAGAAATCTAGCCAATCACTTCCTTTCCCAGGATAGTAGGCGGGCCCAGGTACGCAGAGCTAAAATGCCGAAGGCGAAGCGCTCGAGAGTGTGGCTGTACTTCACAGCAAAAGATATAAACTTAGCAGCCTGCAACAAGTGCTTAAAGGTAATAATGTGCAAAGGAGGTAACACCTCAAATCTAATGAAACACATGGCGTCGCATAACGTTTTTTTAAAAGCC